AAACATACCAAGGGAACATGAATCAAATATGCACTTTTATTCATTTACAATAAACTCATAAAGTACATCATTCTGACTGAAGCTAAGGGCAAACAAAATTGTCTAACATGTATATGCTTATACTACGATCTGGTCACCCTTTCTTTATATTCAAGTCTTATTTGTCCAATGATTACCAATTTTTTTGACCCAAAATAACCAAACCCTGACTCAAGACTTTGGTTTATTTCTCCTCGTGCTTGGCTGCCGCATGTTAAAGACTGTGTCTGTCTCAAGGTAGGAGGTGGTAAGAATGACAAATGACAAATCAGAGTTTCAAACATACGAGATGCAAAACTGAATTAAGCACAAAAACTTTTATCCGATTCAGATTAGCAATGAAAACAGAGCCTAACACAAATGACTTGTGCCATTTAGATCAGTTGACTAAGTCTTTGGCTGGTTTTAGGGGAGATTTGCGATCAAATCCTGCCATGGGTCTCATCCCGGGTTATATACACCCATGAAAAAGCTAAAAATATTAAAGACGAGAAAAAAAAAAAGAGCAGACCACTCTCAGCTCCCTTCTCTATAAATCAATGGTAACTTGGCACCCCTCTAAATGACACACCATTTCCCAGATGGTAACGCTCCCAATCAGAACCCGTGATTGCCCTACTGTGCTTATCATTATCGTCAGATCATCACTCCCTTTCGAGGTTGTAAAACTTTTCAGTCCATGAATGTCCTATCCAACAGATGAACGGCCTTCTGCTGCCACCTAAATTCTAACCAACTCTTTGTTGGATACTTGGATCAGATCTCTCCAAAGCCCAAATCTCACTGAATATCCATAAGCCTTCAACACTTTGTATGTAGGAAAATAGTTTTATAGTAAGCGTTTTGTCACTGGCCCGTGACTCTTCAGTCCTTTGTTAGTTTTATGATAAACATCATAAGTCCAAAATCTTCAACATCCACCCGTCCACCTCACAAAGCATGCGTTGCTCCGTCACTGATGCTCTAACTCATATAGCTACCCCACATCTTTCATTTCTTCCTTCTAATAATACAATTACTTTGTCTAATTGGCTTCTTCCGAATTGCACTCTAGCCTCTAGGGTTTATTGCTATGACATACAACGCTGATTCGTGGAGTGGGGCCTTGGGTTTGGATTTGTGAGTGTTGCTCCAGACCCCTGTCTTCTTCTTTTGGTATAACATAGAAATGGGGGTGGGATAGAGTAGGGTGCATATGAGACGCAGACATACCGAGAAATTTCATTCACTCCCATTGGTGTAGCCTTGGCTAAAATCATGGATCACAGCCTTTGATATATTGCTGCAGCCCCACTTAGAATTAGGGATGGAAATTTTTTCTCTAAAACCGCCCCATGCCCCACCTCGAATGGGGCAGGTTCCCGATCTTCAATGGGGATGAGACGGGGATGAGGAAAATATGTTTTTCCTGAAGTGGTGACGGGGCGGGGAAGAGATTTGCATATAATTCCTCAAATTCATTCCGAACCCGATGGTAAATTAATAAAATATCCCTATATTTAATATTGATTTTTAAATTTTTTTCAATTTCTTAAAACCCTAGGATTCCATAATTTCATTTATAAAGTACCCCTAAATTATCATAATTCTATTCCTAAAACACCCCAAAATTCTCATAATTTATTTGTAAAATATCCAACAATTAAACTATTTTTAGATGATTATTTCATAGTGAAAAAAATTCAAGAATTCTCCATCCGTGACAGACAGAAGTAGATGCCTGCCCTATTGACATTCCTAATTAGAATTGGATGAAATAATGTCATAGTTTAGCCCGAGGCTATCCCATCCGGCATAGCTGATTTGTCCTCATCCCTTACAATGGAGAGTTTGAAGCTTCACTGCTTTGATCATGCGCCTCCTGTTTGGAGGGATGTCAAGTGGCAATCATTCATTTAGAAAATGACAATTATTTTTTGAAGTCATACAATATAGAGAGTTTATTTTATTTTTGTACCATGTGATAGTGAGCATTGATTATATGATTCACAATTTGAACAGATTAGACGGTCCAAACATTGAATTGGACTGGTGCAGCATATTCATCGAATTGGGTTAGACCTAGTCCGTCTATTAATTCATATTAGTACAGATCAGATTGAACCAAATCTGCTTCAATTGAAATCAGCCCCCAAATGCCCCTATCCCCAATTTATAGAAACTCCATTTCTCCTGTTATTTCGCAACGCTTCATGTCAATGAAAACATTGCAAAAACTAAACTTTATCACATTTTGGTGGATTTGCTAACCCCCACTCTCCCCAAATTCTGCAGGTGGCCTATCTAGTGATTGAGCTTCAATATGAATGGTTCTGATTTATTATATAATGCTTCTGATTTTATGTTATTTAATTGGACGGTGGAGATAAGTTTCTTCTAAACTAACAAAGCTCTATAAAGACATTCCCAGTCAGAAGCCGTAGTAATTAACTAATTATGCAGGTTTATCATATAAACTTTATCCATGACCCATTCAGTTGAAGATCAAAATAGGATAGGTGATAAGTTATTGTGCAAAATTTGGAAATGAGCAGATTGCATTTTCGTTTTTTGCCGCTGAACCAAAATAAGGCGTAAGAGAAAGATTAAAAAGTATTACCAATGTTGTCTTCAACGGGTACACTGAATTCCATTGACGCTGCAACATGAAATACACCATCACAACCTTCCACGGCCTCATCGAAACTCCCTTCTTCTTGCAAATCAGCTTTAAATACTTTCAACCGATCACCACCGCACCATGATGACATTATATCGGAGGTCTTGGCTGCAAATTAAAATAACGAATAAATCAGCAGCTCTGGTTATTATGATGTTGGTGTTTAACGGAAGGATTCAACCAGGTCCGGTTGAAGTCCATTTTATCCTGGCCCGGCCCACCGTGGAAGGCTCAATCTTAACTTGGCCAATGGCCACACCAACAGCAGCCAAGTTATTTATTTACTTTTAATTGAAGTAGTTAGAATACAAACGTGAGATTTTCAACTATAATAATAGTACAAAGCATCTATCTATTCACAACAATTAAAATCCTGTCATTGATCATTGATATGGTATCCCAATCCTTCATCTACGGAACACGATATACGGGAAAGTCAACCTTCTGCTACCCATCAACAAGTGTTTTGGCTAAGCACCATATATCATAATTGCCTTGTTTCAATACTCCTCATGGTGCACAATATTATGGCTTTCTAATGTTGATGAATCACTGCTTATTAGAAGAAAGTTTCAATATAGACAAGCAAGCAGATATTTATTGTTATTGTAGTATTACTTTTGATTTAAAGCGCAATACCATTAAAAAATAAAATAAAAAATTTGAACTTGTAATTTATTACCACATCCTTATCTTTTCGTGCTTTTGGGGTGGAACGAAGGAAATCAGTATTCATTGCCTTTGCCTTGGAAAGTTGGAATCTCGGATTCGGAATTCATACTTTTAGATTGATTATATTATTATGTGCCAGCAGATCTCATGGATTGATCCTTGATCTTCCAAATTATTGAAGTTCACGACCATACAATTTAATGTCAGTGATGCTCAAATCGAGGATTTCTTTAACCATTTTTCGAGAAGTAAGAAATGAGTGCAAATGCTGTCAGATACATAATAAAGATTTTCCTACACTTTCAGTGTCTCCATTGGATATATCTGACCGACTTTTTTTCTTGAGTTAAAATGTCTCATGAATACTGAGTTTTTAGAGGGAAAAAGGAAACAAATCCTTCAAATAGTGAATGCCAAATGCAGCCATAGCCCGTCCAATACGATTGAATATATAAATGTATGAATTAAAATTAATTATTTATTGAACTTCTTTAATCATTTTATCCTAAGATGAATGTGGATTATCCGATTATAAGATTTCGGATCAGATTCCGATCCAAGAGTCTGATCTGATGAGTGATTGACTCGGGAGTACAAAAAAAAGAGTAGAAGAAATCTGGATTCTTTATCCACTCCAATGGGAGTGGCTCAGCTACAGTAGATCAACTCATCAACCTGTAGATTTGGGATCTTATACCTTAGGGCATCGTTTTTAAAACCGATCTGGAGACCGAATCGGTCAGGGATCCGGTTGCCAGGTTGAACGCTCAACTCGTTCTAACAAAAAAAATAAAAATCGGTCAAAACTGTTCAACTGGTCGAATGGTTAATTTCCCAGGTCAGCGATTTGCTGACCAAAATCTACGATTTTTGGAGAAATTCCGGTTTTGAGGAAAACTGGAACCGGTTTTTCCAATCCAACCATCTAGTCCAGTCCGATTTTGAAAACTATGGATTGGGTGATCTTTATTTTATTATAGGACAATTTTTGAAGGCATCTTGCTTTGCTACTTTTACTGAAAAAACCATTTTTCTGGTCTCAAATTCTAATTTTTAACATTTTAATAAACGAAAATTTAAAAATTGAAATATAAATATAAATTAAACAATAAAATAATATATATATATATATATATATATGTATATATATCTGAATGTTTGGACTAGTGATCTATGATGTGGAGGCAAAATAGTTCGGCCTTAGGGTCAATTTTTTAAAACATTGTTTAAAATAAAATGAATATGACAAACTCCCTATAACTTTGTACGAAATCCCTCTTTGTGAGGTTTGAAGCATTGCAACTCTGCCTTTCCAAGGTAAACCTCACATAGATAGAAATTTGGATTACTGGATCGTGATAGCTTTTGTAGCGGGCTATGGAATCAATGAGTAATGCCCCTATCCCAGCCATATATGCCATATGGCTGGGATAGGGGCCATATGCATTTAATGGCTAGCCATTCACAACCAGCTACACAGCCATTGTATTTAGCTAATTTTATCTGCACATATGAAGGGCTGTTTGCTTCATCCTCTTTGAATAGTTTCTCCAAACGCTTCAAACCAGTTGAACAAGGCTAGTTGAATCTTCATCTCAGCTATCTCAAAAGGGACCCAAAATCATTTTTAAGGTTGTTTTGGTTTGATAGAAAATATGAAAGAAACAAAGGGGAAAGATTTACCAAAAAAGAAAAGGAAACAGAAATTATAAAAGGGAGTGGAACCATGAAATTTTAGAGGGCTACTAAAACCAATATATTATCATTCTTCTTCTCAAAAATAAAAGGGTAAACTACAAAGACCTCCCCTATCCTATATGGTCAGTGACAATTCCTCCCTTACTTTCATTTGCGACAAACACCCTCCCACTATATAGTTCTGTTAATTAATATAGGGTCAATGACAATTTACTATTAGGAAATATAAATTAGTTTATTAAATTATTATTATATTAATATAATATTAGTTTATAAAAGTATACTAAAAATAAGATATTTCGTGTATAGATCGGGTTTCAGGCTCGGGCTCGAGCTTCGGGCTTTATATAAGGACTAGGCTTGGGCTCAAGATTTAGGCCTGATGGTCGGGCCAGGCTCGAGCTCGGGCTTGCACATTTTCTGTTGATAAAGAGATCTGTGTTAATTATTAAACTATGATTTTAATTAAATTTTTTATTTAATTATAGTCTAGTATAAAAAATATATATAACATTTCTATATATATATTAAAAGTTTAAAACTATCAATTAATATTTTTATATTTAAATTTCTTATTTTTATTAGCGCTTATAAAGTTGGATTTTTAAGTGTAATTGAAACACATTTTTAATATTTACTAAGTTTTGTTAATATTGATTTTTAGTGAAAGTTTAGTGGATTTTTAAATTAATAATTTTTTGATTGTTTAACCTCAACCTATTTATATTATTAATATTCTCTCTCTCTCTCTTTATATATATATATTGCATGACTGATATTATATGATTTATGAAAATGTGATATCAAACCACTAAATGAAAATATGGTCCCCAAACCCTAAAAAAAAAGTTTTTGGCTTCAGTTTTAGACCGGGGATATGCTTTATATGTTTTTATTTTAAGATTTTTTTTTTCAATTAGATGGTTTTTTGGACTTGTTTCTGAAACTTAAAACAAGAAAAATAGTTCAAACTGAAAAAAAGGAGAGCTTGGATCTCTACCCACAAATTCTTCCTACATACCTTGTCGGTGGTAGTATCTTTGTGGGTATATAGGGACGTGAGAAGTGTTTGTGGGTAGGAGATCCAGAATGGGAGAACACCCCGTTAATGTATATAAAAGTTTTTTTTCAAGTTTAAAATAGATAAATTCTTATTACTATTGTTGGATTGATAACTCATGTTACTTTGTCCTTATCCACACTCAGCTAGGACCCGCAAATAATTGAAAGAAAATTGTGGGACCTGAGTTCATTTTTCAGTACTTGAACTTGTATCGACTCTGCCATGGTTTTGGTTCTTTTAGATCAATCAATCGCAACAAAGCATTTCTTCTTCTTCTTAATATCAATTTTATTTTTGAGTTGTATTTGGTTTAATTGATAATATATCTTTTTCCTGCTAAAAGAAAACTTGGGCACTGATTAGATTTTAAAGATAGACAGAAAAATAGATTTTAAAGGAACACTAGTATAAACTCGAGCATCTTCAATTTCTTTTCACCGGGGATGTGTTGTTTTAGAGTAGACGAAAGAGATGTGCCCAAATGAAATCAACGCCAATAACAAAACAACGGAACTTACTAGAAAACAACAATACAAAATGAAAACAAAGAAGTAAATTTGTAATCTAAACTACCCATGCAAAGGCCAAAGCTAAAAAGTAAAAACCCCACAGGCCACACCCACTGCCTATAAGAAAGAATTTCTTGTACTTGCAAGTTTCACATGTACTGTTTGGCTCAGAAGTAGATCATTAATCCTGTGTCCATCACTCCATCTAGTTGGCTGAGCAAGATTGATATCCGTATCAATCATTTCCGTGCACGTGGCATACATTCATGTCCAACCAATGGAATCCTAAATTTGGTGGAGACCTCCCCTCCCTTCACCCACGATTACCGATCATCCCTCAACTCAACCTATGCAACCGGCCCGCCGGAACATTCTTAATTTGGGGACAAAAGTCATGGTGGATGGAGAGAACTAAAATCAAAGAGGATGAGAGTGGTGGTGGATCCATCAAAGGGATTCAATCCTAAGTCTCACTGCATAGTGCAGGTTGCTAAGACCACCCATCATGCAATCAGGCCTAGTCAGAAGTGAGAAGACCAGACTTCAGACTTCACACTATATATATAGTGTTGTTGTTCATACTCTATATTAGATAGATGATCAGATGAATAAGATACATAGAGCCGGGTGAAGTGAGATGAGCATCCTCCAATTCTTCCAAGAAAACAATAAACAAGGAGAAGACGGGAAAGAGGAGCACAAACCTGGATCTCTAGCGGTGGCGTGAACCTTGTAGCCCTTTTGGAGGAGAGACTTCACCAACCAAGATCCTATGTAACCGGTTGCGCCCGTCACACAGAAGGCCACCGTGCTGTCTGTTTTGTCCCCAAGCTGATCTCTACCTTCCATGTCGATATGCCTTCCAAGTTCTATTCCAAAATCGGTTGGTGTTGAAGAATGATTTAAAACAGAGGCCGGAGTTTTTTTTTTTGGTAATCATAGAGACTGGGGTTGGACTCTATATTATATGGATTATGGAGGCATGGAGCTTTTTTAAATTATTTCATGTCAATTGTCAAGCACTCAATCCTATGCATGTTTCATGTCGAAACGGGCCCAAACAGCCCAGGCGTTATATGAGCTGTTTGTCAGAACCCAGAAACCTGTTTCGATTTGGCATCTGCTGATTAGACGTGCTTTCGGCGTTTTGTCAGAATTCTATTTGTATTTGTTATGGAAAATTTCTAATTTTACTTTAAAAATAAATAATTCTGTCATCCAATTTTTTATATAAACCATTCAAACATTCATAAAAATTAACTCTCCAAATTGTTTCTCTTCTATTCAAGAAAGTCCATCACTAAAACATGACCATTACTTTATTGAATAGAACAGCTAAGAATTTAAGACCGTTAATTTTTTGTCAATGTTTAAATAGTTTATAAAAAATATTCGATGTGTCTTTTTAAATGTTATATAACAATAAATTAGCAATAGGTATTGGATTAGCGTATTTTGAAAGTTTGAGTACTGAATTATCACATTTTAAAATTTGAGGACCAAAATGACATTAAACCCAAAATATAGAGTACTGTTGGTGCTCGGATTGGCCGAGGACAACAAAGTAATTTTGCCCCTAGACTCCGAAGGTTGGCTGAAAGCTTAGAGGGTTTAGAGAGCTTGTTGTTGAGACCGAGATATGTAGGCCGAGGTACTACAAAACAGAATACGTCAGAGGCCCCGGGTGAGAACCTGAGGCAGAGTCTCCGATGGTCAAGTTAGTACGGGGTACGAAGAGGGGAACTAAAATATAGTTTTTGAGACTAGTTCCAAATCCAAATTCAAATTGTATTCAATTTGCCCCCCCCCCCCTTTTACTTGGAGGGGGGCACCCCTATTTATACTTGAGTTACCTAGAGGTAGGTGGAGATGAACGCCTGAGATGGGAGCTGTACAGAAGCGTACAACGGGCTTGAAAGGATCATGTGAATGCTCTGCAATTGGCTCTGTACGAGGGGAGCAGGGTGATCCCTACTATAGCGGATCTCGTCCCCGGATCTGGGACTCGTGGGCTGGGCCTCCTAGCCTAGAATGGGCTGGGTTGGGTCACCCCACATCACTTGCCCCACTTCCAATGCCGAGGAGAAAAGTTCGGCTTCGGTTGATGGGAGTAGTAATGGTGAGCGCCAATGGGCCCGGTAGTCGAGGTGTACCCTGCAGTGGCGTCCTCTTTCGCATCTCTGCCTGGTTCGTCTTCGTAAGTTCAGCTGGGGCTGCGAGTGGTCTATGGCACTATTGCTTCGGACAGGTGACCCGGGAGGCGCACTCAATGTGGATGCTCTGGTGCTGTCATTTGGGCCAAGGACCTAGGGGAGCCTATTTAGGCCCGAGACTTGTGAAGTCAAAGGCTGTTTAGGTTGAGGACCTATGAAGCCAAAGGCCGTTTAGGCCGAGGACCTGTGAAGTCGAGGGGCCCATGAGGCCCGAGGATTCGATGTGCATGCTCACGGGAACGGGCCACCCGGACCGATGGGTCGCTTTGGGCAGACGCGTTGGTTCGTCTTGAGCGTCATTTTGTCTTCCGAGGGTGCGCACTCAGGGGTGCAGCACAAATGGATCGTAGGTGTGGAGGTGCTTCTCATCCATTAGATTTGAAACGATCCGAGTCGTTATCAGCGCGTCGCTTTGCCTTTCGAGGCTAAGCATCACGCGGCGCGCCATGATTGGGTAGTAGAGGCGGTGGCTTCTCAGCTATTGGATCTCGAGAATCTGGGTCATTCGTTCTTCTTTAAATAGGGGTTTCAACAGTAGAATTCTTGTCATTTTGCCTCCAAGTGCTTTTGCCTTCAAGTGAACTCAGCTCCCAGATTCTCCAGCCTTTAACACTCTACCTTCACTTCTTTCTCCCCTTTCCCCTCTAAGCCCTTTTGTTTCTATTCCCCTTCAGTGCGAGGTGGAGGTGCTCCGGGAGAGGGTAACCTCCAGGGGATCTGAAGACATCTGTCGAGGCAATGACCCTCCCTGTGAGAGCGCTGCATCTATGACGCTGAGGGAGGACGAGGGGTCCCCGCAAGCCGAGGGGGAGCAGGACCTGGACATTGTCCCCGGGATGAGGGTTGAGTGTTGTTGGGTGGCGGCCAAGACTGATCCTTCTCGCCCAGAGTTTGAAGGTTTTCTAAATTGGGATTAGGTCAAGGCCCTGACAAGGCAGTACTTCATCCCTTTGAAGGGATGAGAGATCCATCGTATGGACGCCCAAAGATTGCGGAATAAGGGGGCGAATTTCAAAAAGTTTTCTCTCCCTTCAACTGGGAATCACATTCCCTATTTTAGAAAATCATATTTTCAAGGATCATTCTTGAACCATAAACTGAACCAGATCTGAACCAAAAGGAGTAGAAAATGGTTATACCTAATACGGAGAAATAGTATCTCCCAACGAAGGTGTTCACGCCCATGGAATGATCCAAAGACTGCTCCCACAGAAGATGGCGCAGTGCAGGATGGAGCAGAATCAGTAGTGTTCTTCTCCAAGAACTCTGTCCTTCACAAGAATTAGTAGGATGGCACGTGAGCATAGCTTCCTATCAATTCTTTCTCAAAGAAGATGTCAAGATCGAATCTTGACTTCTCCCACAACTGGAGATCGAACTGGCAAACAGGGGCGGCAAAAAAGAATTCTGCAGGGATGCTTAATTCTTCCTTCTTTGATTTCAACACTAAAGAGGATCTGAATGTGTGTCTTTCCAAGACTGCCGCCCCCTCCTTCTTTTGTTAACCTAAAAGATCAGCTCCTAATCCAATTAGGAGCTGCTTATCCAAATCATATTTGGATAAGACCTCTCTTTAGGTGATAAGGATAAACCTTTATCTTATCTGTAGATTAGATTAGCTTTCTCCTAATCTCATTAGGAGGTTTCAAGATCTGAATCACATTCAGATCT